CATATTATGTCATTATGTGAGACAAATAATTTGTTGGTATATTAGCATTAACAAAATGCATTATAAAAATGTAATATTTATGAATGAATAGTGCAACCAACATATTCAGGTTTCATTCATACAGAGACAGTGACAGTGCTGCTCATATACTTCAGCAGGTGTTATATGTAAAACTGAGTAATCAGCAGTAGTAGCCGATCCTTCTTACCCTCCCCCCGCATTACTGCCAAAGGTGCACCTATCTTGCCAATGCTTTAGCCTAGCCCTGCTTTGGCCTTGTTTGCATTTATGACAGTGTTCACTTAGCACCTGGGTACATGAAAGAAATAGGACGACATGATAATATCATATTTTAAGATGGCCAAAGAATGGACGTAATTTTTATCCAACAGGGGAAAACATATTTCTTTTGCTAACTTACCCAAACATTTGCTAAGTGTCAAAAAACAATAACAAATTCCTTCCAATCCTAAAGTGTAGCTAAAACCTTTTTTAAGTTTTTGATAGAGTAAGGTAGAGTTGCAACCTCTGTCTGAACCTTTGTCTAGATCACTGGTCTCCAAACTGCAGCCCAGGAGCCGGATGTGTCCCTTTACTAGTCTTTATCTGACCCTTGGGGCACTTTTCCTCCCACTGACACCAATGATGGGACTCCATTCCTCCCACTGACACCAGTGATGTGGCACTATTCCTCCCACTGTTACCAACAATAGGGTACTATTGCTCCCACTGATACCAACAATGGGGCACAATTTCTCCCGCTTAAATCAATGATGGGACATTGTTTATGCTCATTGATGCTGGGGCATTTTCGACACCCACTGGCCACAGTCTGGCTACCCTATTGCCTGAAGGACAGTAAACTGGCCCTTTGTTTAAAAACTTTGGAGGGCTCTGGTCTACATGCGTAGATCATACTTAGATGTGATGGCTCCATTAGTTTTTATTTTTTAATTTTATTTTCATTTATATTCACCTGGTGATCCTGCTAATTAAACTCTTCCTATATGAAGGTGACCATGTTTACTCATTATACTGTATCTATGGAGGAGCAAGGCTGTCACCCTTAGAAAGGACTATAACCTACTCCTCCTTCTATTTTGTGCTTAACATGGGGAAAGGAGAGACTGGAGAGACTGTAGTTCACAGAGGTGGACTGAGCAGGACTGATAACACTGCTTAAGATAACATTGCACAGTGCACTGGACAGCAGTAGATTTATGGCAGAATCAGAAGATTTTTTTTTATTTATTGAATAAACTGCTTTTAATGGTATATAAAGCAGACCAAACATGAGAAAATAAGAGAAATTTATTTTCAGGGTTTACATACACTCTAAGCACCCTTTCAGGGTGCCTTAATAGCTGTTGCAGCTAGATGAATCAGAGATTTTCATTGTTAACCGCATTCTAAAATATGGCTGCTGTGCTGATCCTTTGGCTTCAGTACTCATTGTTAGGGTTTACATACACTTTAAAGGTCTATATTTTTTTCAAAGTGATGCTAAAATGAAAGCGATTGTATGGGCATTTTTTTTTTTAACAAACATGTCATACTTATCTGCTCTGTGCAGTGGTTTTGCACAGAGCAGCCTCGATCCTCCTCTTCTAGGGTCCCCCACCAGAGCTTCTGGCCCCACCCTCCTGCCAAGTGCCCCCATAGCAAACAGCTTTCTATGGGGGCACCCATTTACGCACAGCCGTGGCTCGGCCTCGTCCCCTTCTCTCTTCTCATTGGTTCACTGGTTGTGATTGACAGTAGCGGGAGCCAGTGGCTACTACTGCTGTCTCAGCCAATGAGGCAAGCGAGACCTGAGGTTCGCGTTCACATCGCTGGATAGATAGGGGGCTCAGGTAAGTGTTAGCGGGGACAGAAGGTTTTTTTTTACCTTCATGCAATCTATGAGCTTTTACAACCACTTTATTTTGACTGGTTTAGAAAAGCTCAAACGTGTGCTTTGCCCATACAGTCTAAAGAAACTGGTTTACTTTAATACCACCTTCTCAGCACAACATACCTACCTTTCCTTCGCTCCCCTACACTCTGTTCAGCTGTCAGTAGCAAAAAGAAAATGATGAAGCATGCGATTCACTTTTGGCCAACTAATTGGCCAAGCACTGACACATGGGGGTGTGGAGAGTCTTCAGCTCTGTGTAAGCTCCAACTAGAGCAACTTATGGGTAAATTTGTTGGGGAGGGGGGAATTAAAGAAAACCTACTAATTTCCTCTGCTTGGACAAAGCACAGGTTTGCTTTTATAATTTCTCATCCAGGCACTGAAATCTCAAAACGTACTAAGTCAGGATATCATTTTCATTCACAGGTCATCCCAATAAAAATCACCTATTGGCCGCAATGTCTACTGCACTTCCTCGGGTGTCCCTTTCATACATATTTTGTGCCAGTAAAATATTTTTGTCTCCTGTGTTCAGGAGACTGCAGATATATAATTAATGGCTTCCATTGTCATTTTGTTTGCATTTATGTGTAAATGAGATAAACTTCTCCTGCCCTGATCGCACTACCATGTAATTATTTCCCACACAATGAAATGCGCCTTACTTCTGGGTGCCTGATCACTTCCCATGCAATGCTAATGATGAGGGAGATGTAGTACGCGTCTTGAGATTTCAATGCACGGAAACCCCCATTATCAGCTTCATTAGAGAGGTTTATTGAAGTCCCACAGTAAAGATTCTGCGCAGACACGTGCTGAAGTGTATTAAATGCTGATTTTCTGAAAGCATTCTAGGACACAATTTGCTGCAGATTCAGTCAAATGCCCAGGTGACTTAAAGCAGAACTCCACTAAGAATAGCTAAATAAGCAGCATGTGTATTTATATTAGGTTTACACTAATGCGGCTGTGATTTGATCCAATTTTCAGTGTGATTATATAGTACGACATGCGTTTTTGATACATTTTTGATTTTTTTTTATACTACTACGCTTTGATTCATCCCTGCTATCAGCCATTGTAAAAAATAGCGAGAGGTCCCCCGAAAATCCATACCAGACTTTTAGAGGAGCATGCAGCCTGGCATACCAGGAAAGGGGGGGGGGCGAGTGTGCATCTCCTGAACAATACCAGGCCACGTGCCCAAAACAAGGGGGCATAATTTGCTGAGGGGGGCTAGCAAAGCACGTTGTCCCTATGTTGATGAAGACAAGGGCCTCTTCTCCACAGCCCTGTCCTGGTGGTTGTGGAGGTACAGGGAGTGACTTGTCAGAATTTAACAAGGGGTCCCCAGATCCCGCTCTGCTCATGTGAATGAGTATGAGATGCATAGTACCCCTACTCATTCACCAACAAAAATGTCAAATGTAAATAAAAACACAACGCAGTTTTTAACAACTCCTGTATTAAAAAGAAAAAACCTGCAGGAAAAAAACTCCACCGACAACCAACTGCACCCGCCTCTTGCCACCACCAAATGAAAGATCTGCTTCCCCTTCATGCTCAAATAAACAACATTGTTGACTAAATATGGATATGTGCATAAATGGTCAATGGCATCACTGTGTGGACCTGCCCCTTGAACTCTGCATTACTTACTACTGACCCCTGCACTCTGCGGTACTTACTCCGTTCAACTGTTACATACTATTGATCCCTGCATTGTGTATTACATACTACTGACCTCTGAACTCTGCTCTACTTACCTCTTATTAGTGTATTACATACTACTAACCTTTGAACTCTGCATTACTTCCTACTGATCTCTGTACTTTGCATTACTTACTCCTGAACCCTGAGTTACATACTACTGACCCCTGCATTGTGTGCTACATACTACTGAATCTTTAAACTATGCATTACTTACTACAGACCCCTGTACTCCTGCGGTACCTACTCCTCCTCAGGTGGCACGTACAGATGGCCATGGAAGTGAATAGGGTATGCGCTTGTACTCAGATATAGACAGATGCTTTTGTTCATTGCTATAAACAGGTACATGCGGATATGACTTATTCCCTGAATACAGAATTTGCATGTTCAGGGTATATGTCATACCCACATATGCATACAAAGCACATACCTTTATCCTAGTAGAGGCGCGTACAGCCATTCACTCTTGTGGCCAGCTGTGCAGACCATCTGTGGGTCATCAGGTGCTGGGATTTTACACTAGTGCATTTTTTCTTCCTCAAATCATCCATATGCATGAGGCCTAAAGGAACAGAGCAACCGAACCTCCCCCTGCATTACAGGATCGCTGAACATCTTCCTGGTTTATACATCGATTCGAATTTAATGCACCCTGTACAATGTTTTGCAAATCTTGTTGACTATGCACCTCGGTAATAAGTGCTGGATCCCCAATTAAAGGCCCAAACTACATTATTGTAATCCAACAAGCACTGTACAACACAGATGAATGATAACTGAAAATTGGAGAAATTATCAAAAAATTTAAAATGTTGGCCATAGTTATAGACCAGAATTTGTGTTTAGCTTTTTCCATAAAATGAAAGGGGAAACTTTCACGATTGCTATCGGCAGCAAAATTATGTGTTCATTTTCCACCTTTAATGAACTTCATATAGTGTTGTTAAATGTTTTACATTGAATGTTACAATGTTTTTAAAAGATGTCCAGCACTTTACTAGCAGAGGTTAGAAAAATGTCTCTAACACAACCATAACTAACATAACTAAAAGACCACCTAAATGGGCAAACTGATAGTTTCTTTAAAGTCCACCTTCTAACCCAAGTTTACAGCCTTACGTCATCAGACTTGTGGTGGCTTCCTACAATCAGATTGGGAAAGCAAATCTATCACTCTTTGGGTTTCTACAGTGCGAATAACTTAACACCTTTCTTTTGTTTTGATAAATGTCTTTATGTTGTTCGAAGATCGTCTCTGTTCCGTTGGGAGTATGTACGTAGTGTCCATGGTGTTCCGTGTGCACTGAGTATCTCTTGTACAATCTACTAAACTGACACTTGTTACTTTTAGAGTAAATATGATTTTCAGACAGGGGATTGGGGAGAACCTTCTATCAGCCTGCGAGCCCCCAATGAAACCACGGGCTCCATACCCTTCCAGTACTGGCAGCACCACCCTGAGAAACTCATCTTCCAAGCATGTGATTACAAAGCATATGTAAGTATTACAGCAGTATCGTACCTTGTGATGACTGAGTCTTTTGTTTTATTATTAACCCAAATTTTCCAGGTTTCCTATAAAGGTTGCCCCTGGTTTATTGTTCTACTGATATTTAAAGACACATGTATTTACAAAAATAAAGGACTGCATTGTTGACCACTTATAAAAATACAAATTGCCTGGCTGCCATGCTGATCCATTAACTTCCATACCCCTGAGACAAGTGTGCAGATTAGTAGATCCAACTCCACTGGCTGCATTTTTGATACAGGACAGTGCGACAGCTTGTCAGCCAGGGAACCAGCATTTTCAAAAGAGGATAAACAAGGACAGACCCCACATTTGGCTCAGCATGAGTTTCCTCGATTAACTTTGCAGCACTTGGTCTGCCTGGTACGTCTTATATGATATTGGAGAACTTTTAGCAAGTACGAAGATTTGTATTGTAATGTTTTTATGTGTCCTTTACACACTGACTAGCTTGCTATGTCATAAAGTCATGGTGGAATTTCATGTAGAGGTTTGTAGGTGCTCTCTAGTATCTTTGTATCAGACAGTCAGGTTAGCACCATTGAAGAGCAACTGCTGAGAGAATACCAGGATAAGCTTAGAAATCGTCTTGTGTTTAATGAACAATTGTAGGTCTGAACTGGTCCATAGCATTAGTATAAGAGCTGTGCTGTATTATTAATCAGGAAGCACAGCATACACATGTAACAAATATGCATTGCTGCTCCAAGTCAGTCTTGTTGAAGCTTAACACCAAGGACCCTTTCTAGCTTTAAGCCAGGATTATACAAGTCTGTGTGTGCATATTAATGCAGTCATCAGGAGGAGGACAGGTAGACTTCCAGTGCTAACCATTCCCGCAGAGGCCGTTGACTGGCATCCTATACCTACAGATACAACATCATTGCCCAGGGTTCGATTAGAAATAGATGTGACACTGAGCATAACCTATTCAGCTAAGGCTTCATGTACACTGCAGCTGCTAAACTGACATTTAGGAGCAGTTGGGCATATTTTTCTGAAGCCCCTGAACTCTTCTCTATGTTATCCCATGTGTCCATGTACACATAGTCATTTAGACAAGTTTACAGGCATCTGAGTTTACTGGCATTTCTCTGAAAGCACAAAAACTGCGTTCAGGACAAGAGTTTACCAGCATTTAAAACACCAAATGTGCCTAAACGTGCATAAATGCATCTAAAAGCACCTAAACGCTAGGCACGTTTAGCACTTCAGCATTTATTCATTTCAATGCCCAGAATAAATTAAAATTCTGGCCAATGAAATAAACTCCCAAGCACCAAATGGTGCTAATCTCTGCTAAACTCACCTGGTTTGAAAAAATGCTCCTAGGGGAGTTTTAAATGCTGATTTTCTCCTTTATAAAGAGGAAACACCATTTATAAACCAGTATACACAGGTTGAATGTCAGGCGGCATGGGCCGGTTCAATAGAAACCGGCCGACATTCAGTCTGTGTGTACAGCAGCCGGTCCGACAGAAGCTGGACGTTCAGCCAGATTCTGTCGAAGAAGCGTGACCGAAAAAGGTCTGCCGATCAGCGCTCTCAGACAATGGCTGAGAACACTGATCGGAGTGTTCAGGAGGTATGGGGTGGTTGTCCCCCCTGTCAGAGCACAATAGCACAGCAGAGGAGATCGCTATACTAACATCAGATAGTTAGTACAGTGGCTCCTCTTGAGCTGTCAGGTTTTTTTCATTCAGCCTGCTGGGTTGAACAAAAAAAAACTAGTAGTGTGTACCAGGCTTAAGGATAAACACACTAGTTAACCTCTTGGCGCCGGCCTAACTCAAATGTGCGGCCTTCCAGCGTCTGAGCCTAGACGCCAAGCGGCCACACATTTGCGTTCTATAAAAAAAAAAATATCTGATTAAAGCGCGCTCCCTGCGCGCTCCCAGTACACACGTTCAGTACCCACGGAAAGGTCCCGATCTCCTCTTTCAATCGGGACCTTTCCCAATCATGTGACTGCCGTGACAGCAAATCACGGCGGTCACATGACCCTAAAACCCCGCCCCGCCTCCCGGCTTTTGGAACCCATAAAGGTGTCACAAAAGTGGTATTGTTGCCAACCAATTAGATTGTTTACTTTCCTAAGTTGAATATGAAAGATGAAACCTGACTGATCGTAAACAACACTATAGTCTGATTTATGGTACACGCAAGGTAAAGATATGAGCTGCAGGAAGAAAGACTATGTATATTGTACTTTAAATAAATAATATAAAAAATTAATCAATCAATAATTAATAAATAATACTAATTTAATGTATTTATTTGGATATTTATTTGTTTATTTTTTGTTCACCACACTGCACATCTGTTTATATATACAGTACTTGTCAGGTTAGTGAATTTTATTCTTGTGATGCTAGCAGATTTGTTTATTGATTTTTTCCCTTGACCACAGAATAGTATTTATACATTTTGTATCTTCTCTGCACCTTGGTATGCAAAAAATGGACATGGGTGGAAACTTTTCCTTAAACTCTTTTGAAAAATATGTTGCTGCAGAGTAGAGAAACCCGCAAAGACTTCGAGCTCCATATGACATTTTTTTACATTCCTGTATGCTAGACATTGTATATCGGGCTAGGTACATTTGTGATGCAAGTGTTAACATACCATGAAATATGTCCTTGAAAAATAGCTTATGGGCCCATTTACACCTATGTGAGCACGTTGTTAGGTGTTGGTAGGCATGTTGTTAATATACAGTGTAGTACCTGTGTTATATTTATTTCCTGTTGCTCCTCGAGACACTTCCATGCACCACGAAATATGCCTGATCCCTTTTTTTCCAAAGCAATGCTAAACAGCTTGTCTTTTTTTCTGATGTGTGCATGTTGGTGTGTTAAGGGTCACTTGTATTACTGCATGGATGCTTTTTGGGGAACCATTCAAAATGAATAGGTGCATCTCCTGGACACATGAGCATTGTGCATGTCCTTGCACACTGATGTACATTACAATGCCCTTCAAAATGTGCTGTTAGGAGAGAATCTAGTATAAAGCGAGCTATAGTGGCTATCTGCTTCTTAAATAGACTGTCAAGCCTTTAAATGTTTTAATCTAGCAGGTCACCAGAGTAAAAGATAGCATATACCCACCTTTCTGGTAGCCCATTTTCCTGTCTCTGTTCCATTCTGGTTCTGCAGAGTCAGGAAGCTTGCTTCGGGAGTGTCAGATGCTTGTGTCCCTCTGCCATATGCTGGTTTCTTCCTTCAACCCCCTATGTTACTGCAGGACAACAATAGTGACATAGGAGTTGGAAGAAGGAGCCAGTATATGGTAGGGAACACAAGCATCCAACACTTCTGAAAGTGTCCAATGCCAAAAGGCTCTCTAAATTTGCAGAATGTATCCAGTCATAGATGGAGCTATTTTATTTCCTGCAACCCTTGGTAGGAGAGCCATCACTGCTGGGCAAACACAGTGATTACTGCTAGTGACTAGACTGCAATTGCTAGTAAGGAGGACTGAGTAGCAGCCTGGGTGTGATAGCTTGCAGGGGTCAAACTATGGTCAGAGCTGAGAGGCTCTGCAGACCAGCCCTCTGTAAATTCCCTCTGCCCTAGAACTTTGGAGAAAGGTCTAGTAGCAGTGGAGGAGTGACTGATCTGCACTTTTGAGAGATGCTGGCCATTCCCCAACAGGAGGCTTGGCAGGGGGCCAGGACTACCCTTAAAAGTGAGAGAGTCTGCTCAGCAACAGGAGAGTTTAGGTGGAAGACAGAGGCTGTGAGGCTGAATGCAGGAGCCTGGGAGAGGGCCCAGTTGGAGAAGGGCTCACCTACAGGTAGTGGAGTTTGAAAAGAAGAAAGCTCAGACTTTCACGAGCCCCCAGAGCGAGGGCCACATGTTTAGCAGGGAAGGAGTGGCCCCGCTAGAAGGCATGGTAGCAGCCACCAACCCACCAGCTGCACAAGAGAGTGAGTAAGGAGCACTCTAGTGGGAAACTGAACTAGCCATCTCCCGTGACTGTCTTATTTCTTAAAGTGAAAGGCACTGGATCTCCTGCTCACGGATTTCTCCAGACAGCTGGGTAAAGAGGATTTATCTGGGGTCTGTGGTGGTACTACAGGAGATGCTGGCTAGCTCTCCAAAAGAGACTGTTTTGCTGTAAAATAGTTCCAAGAAGTTGTCCTCAGTTTCTCGTTTCCATTGGGCATCCCATACACCCCTTACCCCATCCAAGTTGAAATGCCCCTAATAAAATCCAAAAACCCAAGCATGTTCTCTGGCTGTACAGAACTGTAGGGGGGACCCAAATACTCAGCAACTCCTAAGGTAGTGCTGCACATGAAAAATCAGACAGGCTGGTTGTACCCAAGTTGATCAATCGGTCAACTTGGGTACATTCAGCCTTCCTATACATGGTTCCAATTTTTGCCAGTCCCTGCTGAACTGGCCAAGATTTGAACTGTGTGTCGCCAACTTTAGAATGGAGGAGTTGTAGAAGTAATGGGCCACCAGACAGTATATGCTGTCATTCATTACAGAAACCTGCTGGATATTTACAGCTGATTAGAAAATGGAGACAAGTGCTTGTTTAGTTAGTTAGTAGCAATATTATTATTTTAATTTTATCATCATTTTATTTATTTTTTTCCCTACAAAGATGTTCTTGTTGTTGTATATGTTGTTACTTACCAAATATTGAGTTAAAGTATTTGTAAATGCAACCTTTTTTTTTAAGATAGCAAAGAGGTTTATACTTACCTGCTATGTGCAATGGAATTGCACAGAGCGGCTCTCTTCCCTCCGTTGAGTGCAACCATAGAAAGCTGCTTTCTGTGGGGGCACTTGTGCAGGCTCGCTCTGTTGACACAGACAGTGGGCAATGACGCCACTAACTCCCACTTCCACGTCACTGGCTTTAAATAACAACAGCAATGGCTCCTGCTGCCTCAGCAAAGCCAGGAATGACCAGGAAATGTGGGAGGGGATAATGATGCCTAAACAATT